GAATTAGTTAATGGTAGAGTCAAATATCTTATGGAGAACAAACTCTCTGGTTTTTCAATTATATTAAGGGAATGCAGTACCTGAGCTGCTAAGCCGATTACGAATCCCAACAGGAAACAAGGTGTTGCTTTCTTTTATTGGCTGGCTGCTTCCCACCAGATCAAGGCGTCCTGCAGCTGCTGCCCATGAGAGTCGCATGAAACAAGCGACTGTAGATGTGAAGTCACTGGCATCCATTGTCTGTAAAGAAAAAGGAAATTCTTTGTTGCTTGAAATAAAAAAGGCAAGGTGACATTTCGGGTAATCACAAGAGGACTGTTGTTGGGACCAGTCTATTAACATTCTACACAAAAATTATGTAACCTTTTATTTTAGTAGAGCTGTTGGTATTACTTACTTGTATTGCGACTCGTGCAGCAGGAATTATCTCCTCTACTCTAATGGAGGACCTGTCTGAAACAGACAGTTGCCGATATGAAGACTTCTCTGGAGTTCCACAAATGGACATCTGCCTGGTAGTTTGCCGAGTCACATTACGGAAAGGCCGTGAAGAAAGTGTTTCTACTCCATATTTAGCCACATCTTCATCTAATAAAGTTGGCATTGTTTGTCCAACAAGCAAAAACCTAAACACAAAAAAATGTGCCGTTTGAACTATGAAGAGCACTGACTACATTAAGACCAAACTATTCAGTATATTACAAATTTCTGAGCAAATCAAGCACATACCTTGCTAGCTGCAAACAGATAGAATATACTCCCTGTCTGGTTTCATAGTCCACTTCTGAGGGGATGGAATCTCTCTGCATGACATTCACTACCAAACTGGAAAACAAAATCATTAGCTTTCTTTAAGTAATAAAATTAAATGTGTAGAAAACTAGTGATGAGACAGATTATTTTCACAACAAGGTATCAAAACTGAACTGTGCTTGTTGAACTGCATGAAAAATCACACCAATTCTTACAAACAAAAGTCTGCTAAATGATTCATGTGATCACTATAATACTTGACAGAATTAATTTTATGTTACTGTCCCCAAATGTTCTGCTTCCAATGATATAAAATTCTACTTATTGGTATACACAAAGTAATACTCCTTCCTTCCTCTCCTTTCCCTGAAGAATGAATGTATTCACTGTACTTCAGTTGCTAAGCTGTATATGAGATACAGTAGTTAACATTTCTGGAACATTTCTGTCTAATGTCTGAAAGTTGAGCCATGGCAACTCGATTTTTCTTTTTGGTTTGAAACGTTTCGCTGTTTATCCAAGTAGTTTCTTCAGTCTATTTGGATAAGCAGTGAAATATTTCAAACCAAGAAGAAATGAAGTCCAGTTGCAGGACTCAATTTCCAGATATCTCTACCTGGATGATTGAGAATCCTCATCATCTTCCCTGCGTAATCCTTATAGTTTTACAAGCCACAATACTGGGCAACTAACCAAATATATACAGGAATATGTTCAATGTTAGCATGGTTTCCTTAATGACCTTGACACTTGTGATAACTTCAAATTTCAGCAAAACTATGTTTTGGAAAACAGGTACCATTTATCACACAATTCTTTAAATAACAGCTTCATTTTTTTTTTCTTGTAATGGGACTTATTTTCTGATATCAGCCTCATAACAGTTATGCAGAGGTTAGGACCAAATTAAAGACTGAGAGTCAGTTATAGTTGGTACCCCTATAGACACTTATTTACAAAAGACCTATAAGTGAAAAGAGAAGACAAATACTTTCCGTACAATTGACCCCTACCATGTATGTAGGTTTGAAATCTACTTAGAAAGTAAGAATTGTATATAAACTAATGAATTAGTAAGACAAAGTAACTTATCTTCCTATAACAGTTGCCCAAAAATTAAGTTACATTTAATTTCAACTGACTTGTAAACATTTGACAGTTTGACCTTAGGTAACCCTTCAGGGTGATTGAAATATTTAAAAACCAACCTCAAGCCTCCTGCTCTAAGGAAGTTTTCACAAAACGATTTGGCACAATTTCTTGCCATTTCATCATCTGCTGTAGGCATTAGCTTGGAACTCAATACCTAAAAATATTCATAATTTCAAAAACAGGCAATTAAACCCATCTCACCAAATAGTTTGCATGATTTCCTACTTGGCAATAGGCAGCAATATCTACTGTTGAATACTATTCAGAATATTATGCAATTTTTAAAAAATCTGAATTCAAAGGGTCCTTTTGATCCACTTCCCACTCACCGGTTACAATGGTGAGCAGGAAGGGAATCAATAGAAGTAATAATGTAGTTTCTTGAACATTAACAAAGCTTTTAGTGTGTTAAGTTTAATTCAGTACCAAACACCCATTTCAAGGAGCAATTATGTATCATCAATACAAGGCAAACAATAAAGAGCTATTTGCTTGCAGAATCTCTGAGGGGAATGTAAAAAAAGATAAGCTAAACCAAAAACATGGCACTAATATAAAATAGGGAAATTGGTGCTTTTTTTAAAAGCTGGACTTACATTCTTATTCATTTTTAGGCAGCCGGACCAGAGATAAGGATGGTACAAATTATAGTTCAAAGGAGTGGACTAAGTTCGATTATGTTGTTTACTTCTGGTTTATGAAAAGTTTTATTTTAAAATTGATTGCTCTATACTGCATTACAGTAACCAGACTTATTACAAATACCTTCATTACTATAAATAAGAATAATTGCAAATCTACCAAATTTTGCTATAGTGTCATAGCAAGCATTGAATAAAAGTATTATTTTATGGTATTAAGAAGTTTCCTAGCAAGTAAACATTGCTCTAGTTAACCTAGTACCTTTTCTATTGACTGACAGTTTCCCATAGTTTTTTTTTTAAAAGACAGAAAACTGAAGATAATGGGAACTGTACAACTAGGCAAAACATATGTTATAAGTCTGAGTTTGACCTTTCTCTAGCCACAATTTCATTCCTACCTCAAGATTATAAAGCACTCTAAAGGTAGACATTCCTGGAGCAAAAGATCTGAAAAGACTTTCAAGTATTGAAGCCGCACTAGGCTGGTGTTGGTGTTTTGCAGACAGAGAAGGAGATTTTGAAGACTGAGCATTTGTTTCAGAGAGCAGTGTTTTCTAAGAAAAAAAGCACAGAAAAAATGAGTATAAGCGTATTCTTACATGGTCTTTGAAATTATTATAAATAACTCTCAGTGTTTAAAACAACCTTACATAAAGCACTTATAAACCCTAACAAAGTTGCAAAAACACTCATTACATTTTAAACAAAATTTATTGCTTAAGAGCCCCCAAACTCATTATATATAAATAGACTATCCTGTAATCTGCTTCCCCCCCAAAGTAATCTTTGCCTAAGATTAATCTTAGATTAAACTGCATATGGAATATATTTAGGATTCAGTGCCTGTTGGCTGCTGGCTTCAGCCAGGAGTATTAAGATTATATTAAATGAGCCTATAACTTAAACAGACATACATTAAAGATAATAAATTCTGCTATAGTTTTAGGGGAGATTTGCCAGCTAATGCACAGCTATGCCAACACTGCACTATTTTCCAGTTCCAGTGGTAGTAAATACATTGGACACACTTTATGAATCTCGAGAAATGAAGTACTCATATTGAGCAAATAGGGAATACCCACTTTGCAAAATCAATATTCCATTTTATCCAAACTATTATAAATCATTTTAATGTAGCCAGTGATAGCTTACATTTTATCCCATAAGAACTAATGGGTTGCATCGCTTCAACTTATTTCAGCTCATTACAGTCAATTAATATCATTCTAGTTCTCTTTTCATTAATTTCAGTATGAAAAGTAAGTAGTAAAATTTGATTATTATTAGTTTTTATCCTTCTGGTTGGCAATTGGTACCTTTCGTCCAAGTGAATCTAATTGATCAAGAGCTTCCTGAATAGCTGGATCAGTAGGAATCAATAAAAGAAGCCTCCGAACTCTCAAAGTAATCCTGAAGAATTTTAAAAAAATACATCATGCACTTAGGTTTCTCCTGGAGGACAGTCTGTGAGTATTTGCACATGTTTTCAAAGAATATATCTCTTTAAACTCTGCAGCCACAGCATTTCCATACTACATTAACAATGCTTAACTTACCTTGGCTCTTCCAGGTTAGCAAGCTGATAAAGCATATCAAATACATTGTATACAAGGGCCATTACTACACCAGGAAGGGATTTTTCCTAAGGATTAAAGAATATATTGTGAGTTCTTTCATCTCTTTTAAACAATCTTATTTTTAAGTACAGCATTATACACTTAAAACTTGGTCTAAAGACATAGTCTTCCTTCCTTTTCCAGCATAAGACTTTTTACACCAACATCCAGCTATCTCCTCAAATTAAACACTTAATATGAATCTGCAAAGAAATCAGGGCAACTATCACTGTTTTTTTAAAATAAAAACAACATAATTAGCAGAAAATTACATTTCTGAGTTCTGAATTATCCAAGTTCTGGGATGAAATATTTCTTTTTGAATATTTTAAGGACAGCTCCTGATTTACCATTTCCCACCTTGTTATTTACATTTGGCATTATTTCAAACAATTTGGATGCATTTGTTTCCGAAATTCTAGTGAAACTATGTTTAAGTAAAGAAGCATAAAAAACTAAAACAACAGCAAGGTGGCAATCTTTCATGCTGGCTTTGCCAAGGTTCTTAATTAATGAATAATTAATTCTCATCTTACTTTCAGAACATCAGCTCTCACCACCTTTCTAGAGATTTTTTAAGCTTCATGAGCAACTTGGGATTTTCCAGGAAACAAATGACTGAGATGCCCAAATGCATGTACTATGAAAAGATTATTGTGGACTTCCGGTGGCGTTTCCGTTGAAGACTGCGATCGTGCGTGGCTTTGATCCATGCTTGCCCTGTTGGATGGGTCCCCGAGGGACCAGAACCATCTGACCCACCTTGTAGGGGTGGGGGAAGAGGGGGAGACTGCCAGCTGGGTTGAGGGGAGCCGCATCTCCCTGGCTTGGTAAACTCCGCTAGAAGACAGGGAGAAGCGGTAGTTTAATGGCTGCCCTGAAAATGGGAAGCTGCTGGGACCTAAGTTTGTGCTGGAGAGTGGAAGTGGTGAGCGGCGTGTAACTGGATAAAAGACTTTGAATATTTTTTTTGAAAACCCCAAAAGCGGAAAGAAAGAGTCCTCGCTTGGAAGAATGGTAGCGGTGAACGGAGAATAAGAGGAAGGTAAAGGAAAAACCGGAAATAAAAGAATTATATGAAATCAGATTAAATTTGAACTAATATACAGAATTGGACATTAATTAGGCATTGGAGAAAATGCTGGACTTATTTGGAATGGATAAAAATTAATATTAATACTACGGAAAAGAGAATTAAAAAAACTTTGAAAAGAAAGTGATATAGAGCACCACCTAATGGTTAAAGATTTTTCTCTTTTATGTTTTTATGGAAAATTACTGGTCGCATAAATATTTTAAAGAAAGAAGAAATGGAATAAAGGATTATTAATACAACAAAAACCCTGGAAGTTTTTTTTTTAAAGAGGGGACTATAGTAAAATATAAAGGAATACAACATTTTGGGACTGCTGGAGGTTGGCTATGACAAGAAAACAGAAGAAAGAGAAAGTGTGAGAAACAGAAACTTTTGGCAAGGACTATAATAGAAAAACTTGATCTTTAATAAAGAAATTGAAGAAATAGGTAAAGAATTTAAGTTTGGAGCTGAAAACTGTGAGAGGTATGTTAAAAGAAAGAAAGAAATTGCTGGATACAATGATTTACAAGTAATGGTGTTGCAGCTTGCAGAAGAACAAAGAAAGCTCAGAGATGATGAGTTGGAAGAGGGAAACAACAGCCCAGATGAATATGGAGAACAAGGACCATTGCCAAAGGATATAAAAGGATTTAAAATAGAGACATTGACACCAGAGACAACAAATAAAAGAGATAAGGCTCCCAAGATTAAGAAGAAGGAATTATATAAGAAGAAACCCCAAAAAAGAGAACTGGAAATGGTGGGGGAAAACATGGCTGACAGCAGAGGGGAATAAAAATAATACCAGAAGGAAAAAAAAAGACAGACCAGGGAAACTTAGAAAGGGGAAAGCTGGCTAAAATTAAAAGAAATAATAAAGCTGAAAAATTTAGCGACAAGGGTTAAGGATCTATAAGGGGGATACCACATGGGAATGTATATGGGTATTTAATCTAAAACTTGCTGGGAAGTATTTTAGGATTGTACAACTATATATAACTATAACTATATAACTATAACTATATATATATGTATGTATGTATATGTTTTCATAGATTTTCACGGGTACAGGTATGTAGGTCTAGGTGTGTTTGGGTCTTTTCTTACAATCTTACACAGTAAAAGACCTGAACATACCTAGACCTATGTATGTATATGTATATGTATGTATGCATGTATATGTATGTGTATGTGTATGTGTATGTGTATATATATATGTATATATAACATATATATATTTTTTCTTAAGTTTTCGCGGGTACTTACATGTATGGTATTCAGCTTTGTTCGGGTATTTTCCCACGTCATTATAGTTGTGCTTTTAAAATTGTAGCAATGTTTTGGCAGAATCTCATCTGCCATCATCAGGCTTCTGTATTGTGTTTGTCTGTGAGTCATATGTTCATAGCCATTTCTGTTTTAAATTTGGTACTAGCCTACTGCTGTGCCAGAATGGTTTCTTCTTCATCCTGATTGGTTGGGAGTCTTGGTCTGTGTTTACTGGTCTTGGAGTTTGCTGTGTTCTGCTTGATTGGTGTTTCTAATATCTTCTGTCTGTTTTGTAGCTTTTTTTGTCTTGATTGGCTGGCAACATTGCGTTTCCTGTATTGGAGGCTTTTAGTGCGGCTTGGCTCCGAGTAAACGGACGGCTATCATTGATTAGGAAGCTAGGTTTCATCTGGGTGCCTGGTTGCCCAAGTCTGACTCACAGAAAGCCTGACTCACAGACGAACACAATACAGAAGCCTGATGACGGCAGATGAGATTCTGCCAAAACGTTGCTACAACTTTAAAAGCACAACTATAATGACGTGGGAAAATACCCGAACAAAGCTGAATACCATATATATATATATATATATGAATTGTATTTGAATTATGCTGTTATAAACTCTTTCTTTGGAGGATTAAAAATAGGGGAATGGAAATGAATTAAAATATATAGATAAACTTTGGCAAAGTGGAAAGGAAGAAAAAATATGATTATTAATGATTATAAGTAAAGTGAAGATAAAATGAAACATATTAAGAAGTTATTTTAGCAATTTACTGGGGGGATACTTTAAAATATATACATTTTAAAATATACAATTGATTATTTAATGGATATTAGAAGTGTACAATGAGAGTATTTTATTATGATTAAAGTAGGGGAATGGAAAATACCATGTGGATCCTAAATATATTGACTTTATTTTACTTTTACTCTTTTTAGATTGTTTATTATACATTGGCTTAGAGAAAATTAAGGATAGTAATGATGTGTAATGTACGTAAATTAAAATAGCTGGTAAGCTGAAAATGGAAATAATAGGGGATAAGGAATTGAAAACCTATGTGTGAATGAAATGAAATTGATATTGAATTAATGAATTGAAATATGAAATGCAAATTTATTTAAAGATGAGTGAAATGGATAATGATATGAGATGATATTATATAAGATTAATGGAAATGAAAGTATGACTATGTACAAGTGTTATAATCCAGAATCATGTTGCTCATGTGAAGAGATGTGTAAAATTAAAAAAAGTAAAAATCTTTTATATTAAAAAAAAGAAAAATTATTGTGATCAATTAAACAATATACTTTGTATCTGCATAAAGGGAACAATATTAGAGAGCAAATAATAGGTGAGCAGAATTCATTTTAGAAAATCAATTTAATAAAAATTGGCTAATCTGCCAAAAAGCAATGCTAGAAAAGGATATATAGAAGATGCAATCTCTTAAATTAGAATGTAACTCTCTCCCAAAGGTGCTGACAAAAAGGAAACTGGACTTCCTTGAGTTTTCCTGAAGACGCTATACTTCTTCATGGATTTCCCACCAGTTAGTTAGAACTGAAAAAGCTCCTTGGATGAGAAGTGAGAAGTCATCAAGAAAGTACAGTTAACTTTTTCAAAGCGCCTTTGGGATAGCCATGACTTGGATGACTGAAAACCTCTATAGACATAAACCTAACTCTGACAGATTGTACCACGACAACTTAATGAAAAATATGTAATCCACATTTCAGTGGATTCATGCTTTACCTGTTCCATTGCATATGATGAACTGAAGACATTGCTACCACTGCTGGAAGAATCGGCAGAACTTGCTGATGGAGTTCCACTTCCCAGTGTTTTTACAGTAAGTGATTGTTCATCAGAGAAGCCTAGCTGATGAAGCAGCTTCTGATCTTTATTCACTGTTAACTGAAATATTAAAAAAAAAATCCTTAGATTTAGCAGACATTGCAACTTGAAATATACTTATAAGCAATTAACATACCAAACTATCGTTGGCAAAGATCTGAATATTGTCCACAGGGGCATTCAATAATTTTGCTATTTTCCATCTGACACTTCCAATAGTTTCATTGCTATGAGCCTGTAAAAAGAAAAAGATAATTTTGTAATTCATACTCTCAATTGACAACCATGTCATCACCATATGAAAAGTGTAAGTGCATATTAACATGCTCCATGCTTCTCTCAAGTTCTCATGTTTTTCAGCATGTTACATATTATCCCTTGTATCAATCTCTTTTTTTAATTAGAAAATTCTGCAATCCTAGAACTATTACCACACTATAAAATTACATACCTCTACTGTAAATGTATCTTTGGTAGACTCATATGTAACATTGAGAGTTAAAAGATGTCCATGAAAGGAGGCACCATGAGGTAGAATAGTACGAGGAACAGAGTAAAGATCCTATAGACAGAAGGAAAGACTATATTTATATAAATATATAAAGTGCTCTCTGAAAGAGAACCTAATTAACCTAATTAAATATATACCTTTGGATCATTTTACTCAATAAATAAATGAATAAGTTTTGACTCAGTTGTTTAATTGGCTTCTCTTTATCTACTTATGCTACTTGTATAGAGAACATATCATAGATCATATTTAGGCAAAATAATGACAATTCAAAAGGATTCACAAACTTTTAAGCACCAATGTATATTGTTCATATTACTTCATCAGCATGCTGGGTCCACAATCAAATGGCCTCATTTATGACAACATGCAGTTACAAAGGAAATATATTGCTTCAATCCAGAACATATAACCAGGCTCTCCATTATAATTACATTAATATTTACATGACAGGCAGCGATATTCAACTGGCAAAAATAAACCAGGCTGAACTATCCACACAGTGAGCTCAGTGCACAGATCAACACATACCAATTCCCAGGGGAGATCCTATTAAATTATTAGCTGCAGTATGACGGCAGAACAGAATATGCTGGGTTGTTATTCACAACTCAACTACTCACATCAATAATAATCTGCAGCCACTATGTTTACACTTTCATAGTTTTTGGTGGCAAGCCCATTCTTGCATACCCAACCTGAAGAAGATTCTTACAAGTACCAGGACAATACCAGCATGGGAAAGCCATACCTTGCAGCAAGTCCAGCTGTCTACTTTACCCCACATCTACACTAATGTTTACTATTACACACAAAGCTAGAATTGCTTTCACATGTCTTCTTCTAATGTGATGCATGCCATCATCTGCCAGCAATGCTCTCTGGATTCTACATAAGACAAACAGGCCAGACCTTGTACAAAAGAATTAATGGGCACTAGCTTGTCATCTGGACTCAAAACTTACTCAAGTTGACAGCAGTATTTTAAACTTCTAAGATATTTCATCATAGAGCTCATGGGGAGTTTGGAACAAATAAACTTTGCTAGAACAACTGAGTAGGAAACATAGGAACTGTCATGTCCCTGTTGGAATCTGATTCTGAGGGGGAGATCAAGCAGCTGACAGGGAATGGGAGTGTGGCTCCGGTGGCTGTGGAAGAAACGGGAAAGGCACAGGCCAGCTGGGCATTCAGAAAACGACCCCGGGCTACCCCCTCTTCATCCTAGGGCATGGAGGGAGGAACGGAGAAGGGAATAACGTGAGTAACGTGGTTTACAGGGGAGTAAAGGGCCCTGATCCCCTTCATTAGCTGCAGCTGGGAAAACTGTTTAAAAAGGCAAACTATGCACAGCAAAGTTGCTAGAAGCAAAGCGTGCATTATCTTTGTTGAGTCATATCTGGGTTCTGGCATCATCCCAACTGTGTGTTTCGTTATCTTTTCAAAGTCTGCAAGTCCTTATCCTGCCCTGTCTCGTTAATTGCTGCAGCATGGTTTGTGTTGGTTATTATTTATAATTTATATGTACTTTGGGTTTGACTGAATTTCTTCCCTTTAAAGACTGTTCTTGGGAGAGTTTTTTTCTCCAGCCGAGAACTGGACATTGGGGGCCAAGTTGGAGGTATTAAAGGGACTTGACCTACTTTTGTGACTTTGTTGCTTTTGTGCCACACCCTGGCTCATCACAGGAACATACGTATATACATTAAAAGATTTTAAGCTATTTTAGAAGGACTTAACATTCACAACAGGTTCTTAATACATTCCCATTCTTAATTGATAGGTACTTGTATTCTGCTTCCTAAGGAACGTCTATCAGCATAAGCATCCTGTCTCCCACTCTCTTCCCTTCCTTTCATCATCCCAATGTATTTAAATACCACATTAGTCAACTCATTCCATGTATTTGATGAAGTCAGCTTCAGCTCATGAAAAATTATGTCTTAAATAAAATGGTCTACAAGCAACCAATATCACTCATACAATTATGACAAAGGATAATTGAAAGTTATTATTGATAATTCCAGGAGTCAGTTGTCATCATTTTCTTGACAGGCATTTTCTGCCCACAGAAAATTGACTTTATGTATAAAATCTGCAGCTATTAAAACTGTTTTCTAATCACACTTGTCCTTGCCCTCATCCCCACCCCCCGGTCCTGGCATATTCTCATAGCAAGATTCGTTAAAGTTGGACTAAGGTATAATTATTTGAATTAAATTGCAGAATGAATTCAATTATAGAAACAAATTAGATATAAACTAAGCATTCAGTAAATCAAATATTTGTACAAAAGTATGTTTGTTTTACCTCTATTGTGATAACATAGCGTTCTGCCAGAAGTAGCAGTCTCTCAATTATTACAAGTTTTGTTGACCTAGAGTAGCAGAGATTTAAAGTAGCAGAGATTTAGATAACTTTCAAACAATATTTGAACTAATTTTGAATTGAACATTCATTATAAAGATGTATATTTGGATGACTTTTGATTAAATAGCAGATATTTGAATGAGCTTCAGAAGAATATTTTCATTTTCAGAGAAGTGGCATTACCTTGGAGTTGTTTTCTGCTACATAATATAAGTACTTGTCTTATCATGAAATAGTATTAAGTACATATATGTATATGTTGTGGCTCCGGGCTTGGATTCAGCTCCTGTGACTGATATGAGTTCAAGTGAGGAGGTCATGGCAAAAAATATGAGCTGGCACGGCTTAGTGATTGGACTGATAACCAGGATGAGGAGATGGACGTGACAAAGGACGACAGACCTGATGTATTAGAATTGTCAGGACCTTTGACCTCCTCTGGTTCCTTATCTGATCAACAGCCAGGAATGGCTGACAGGGAAGTTTTGAGAGAGTCTTCTAGTGAAGATGAGAACTTGGAAAATTTGTGGTTAAATGTAAAAAATAGAAGACGGTTGAGAAGGCAAAATCAGCTGGAGCGAATGAGGAGAGTGAGTCAGTAAATTAGCACGTTGCCTCAATGAGTATAAAAGGACACAGCTGGGCTGGTACATTTTGCCAGGAACAAAGTGACTATTTGAGTGAGGACGTTACAGCAAGAAGCTCTGAGATTGGAGATTTATTGCCAGGACTGGTTTGCCGGACAGAGTAAAGATTTATGCTGTGGTTTCTGCCAGCCATTATCTTGTAAGACTTCTTTACGTTTGATTTAATTGTGAAACGGCTGCTTTCTGTTTTGTTCATTTGAATTTCGAAGGGGAGTCATAACATGTATACATACATGTGTGTTCAAGCCCAAGGTAGCAATTAAATAAGGAGCCAATTTTAAGATATTTCTAAAAAACAGTAGTGTATATATTTTAAAACAAAAGAGCGGCTATTATTGAGTAGAAAAGCCCTCCCATCTCAAATGATATATGGAAAGCATGAAGCAATTATTTTAATATACTAAACTATTTCAATCAATGAAATGAATCACACATGAAGATTCAGTTACAATATTTATCTCTTCCTTTATGTACAGTCTGTCCAATGGTTCACAGCAAAAGAAAAGAAAAGAGTACAAGTTTTCCATATTTTCTGTATCTGGGATGAGTTTTATTCCAAAATAATATTGGTATCAAACGTACTACATTAGTAAGGTAGAAATATAAGACATCCACATTAATAGAATAAAAATATGTATCAAGAAGAAGCATGTTCATAAGCTTGAGAACCTGTTAACACTGCAGGTGGCAAATAATTAAATATAACGTGTTTGCCCGTTTCAACAGAATTAATAGGACA